ACAACATGTCAGGTTAGTCCCCGAGGAGAGTGTTTAAACTGGACAAGTGAATTTGTTTCAGTCCCCAGCCACTATAATCATTTCTTGCAGCAAATTTATTGCAATATGACATGTCTCTCAATGGAGCCAGACATTTTATAGCCTTGCTTTGCAGTATCACCAGTTAACCTTTAAATACCCAGGTTACAATGCTAGTAAATAATTTATTTGCTGAGTGCAGTGTGGTGGGGCTATTTATTACAAGGTTCTGTGGTGACAGGGAGGAGAGAAATGTTGGTTGAAATTTTAAGAGTAGAGAGATTAAAGAGTATTATTTTAATATTGTTATAAAATTAATGTGCAGACACTTGAGGAAAAATGCAATTATAAAAAGCTTTGTGTAATACATTGCAGAACACAGGCTGTTTCGTTGCTGAAATTGGTTCAGAACTATGATGAGTTATTTTCATAACGTTATAAACAGTCCATCTCAAGACCTTCCTTTTTGACTTCAGTCATCCTCCCACGCCCCTTGCCCTCTACCTCTTTTGATTCTATACCCCAGCTTGGGTGCAAACCCTTGATCGTCCAGTGCCTTGGGACATCCTCCCGAAATGAAAATGCAAGGCTCCTGTTCTGTAACAATAACAATGCTAATAATAATAATAACAATTCTTGCATTTGATATAGCGCCTTATCACATCTTCACAGAATATACTGTAAAGTGAATTAACTGTATATTTTGTGGGTGAAACATGGCAGCCAGTTGTGTACAGCAGTGTCCCACGAACAGTCGTGGATTGAGTGAACAATTTATTATTTTCTTTGAAGGAATTATTACTCCCGGAAAAGCGATCCGTCAATTAACTAACAACTGGGTTCCTACTTACACCTAGGTAAACAGAGACGGGTGGAGTAAGGAAACTTGCACAACATTTTGCCCTGCTGGGAATCAAACCCATGTCTCTCGCTTGTGCTGCGAATGCTCTAAACAGGACAAGTTGACTCGACCTTTATACATCTCTGTCTTCTAGGGAAACACCTTATTTCTGCTCAGCAGCCCTTCTTGAGGATCTAATAACCCTTACATTTGATATAATAATAATAATCCTTGTATTTGATGTAGCGCTTTTCACGTCTTCCAGGCGTCTCAAAGCATTTCACAGAATATACTGTAAATAATAATAATAATCCTTGTATTTGATATAGCGCTTTTCACGTCGGGAGGACATCCCAAAGCGCTTCACAGAACACACTGTAAAGTGAATTGACTTTATATTTGTGGGTGAAATGCGGCAGCCAAATTGCCACAGTAGTGTCCCACAAACAGTCGTAGATTGAAGTGACCAATTTATTATTGTTTTCGGTTTTGGAGGGATTATTATTAGGTGTGTGGAATAAGGAAACTTGTGCAAGGTTTCGCCCTGCCGGGAATCGAATCCAGGTCTTTCGCTTGAGAGGCGAGTGCTCTAACCATTGAGCTACAGGTCTCCGTATAGTGCCTTATCACATCTTTGAGATGTCTCAAAATGCTTAACAGAATATACTGTAAAGTGAAGTGACTGTTTATTTTGTTGGAGAAACCCGGCAGCCAATTGTGCACAGCAGTGTCCCATGAACAGTTATGGATTCGGTTTCCAAATTCTTATTAATTTTTTTTAAATTTATTTTGCCGGGATTATTACTCCCAGAAAAGCAACCTGCCAATCGACTAACAACAACAACAAAATTATATTTGTAACGTGCCTTTCATGTCGGGAGGATGTCCCAAGGTGATGAACAGTCAGGGGTCAGGATCCAAGTGTGGGGGTCAAGGTTGGAATGAGGGAGGGCAAAGAGGTGGGAGGGCGGCTGAAGGAGGGTCTTGAGTCATGCCTTGAAGGATGCAATGGAGGGAGCAAGTCAAAGGGATTGTGGGATGAAGTTCCAAAGGGTAGGGCAGACAGGCTGAAAACCCATCCGCCCATGGTAGGGCGGGTCGGGCAGGAGACATGGAGCAGGCCGGAGCCTGCTGAACGGAGGAGCGCATATGTTGATGGGGGTCAGCAGATAAGAGGGGAAAAGGCCATGGAGGGCCTTGAAAGTGAGGACGAGGATTTTGAATTCTATCCTCTGAGGGATGGGTTTACAACTGGGTTCCGAATTACTGCTAGATAAAGAGAAGCAGTGGAGTAAGGAAACTTGCCTAAGGTTCTGCCCTGCTTTAGGAATCAAAGCCAGGTCCTCTCGCTTGCAGGACGATCGTGCTAACCACTATGCTACAGGACTCCACAAGATCTGACTGAGACCAGGAACTCACCCCAAGATTAATCCTACCTCCAAACCCTTACTGTGTCTGTCTAGAGTGCAGCCTACACTAAAGTGCTACCTCACCATACCACCTTAAATATCAAACGCAAAGACTACTCAAGAGTTTTTTTGTGCTAGCCAAAATTTACAACATAATTGTTAAGCAATAATAATAACAACTTGCATTTATATAGTGCCCTTTACGCAGGGTAGCATCTCAGTGTGGTGGAGTGGCGTGTTTGGATGCCAAGCAAGGTAGAAGAGGGAGGGGGAAGTGACCATTGGCAAAGTCAAAGAAGTCATTCATAAGGGGGGACTTAAAGATAGAAGAAGATTTGAGGCAGAGAGATGAGGCATGGAGTTCCAGAGCTGAAGGCACAGACACAATTATGGTGTAGAGGAGGAGGGTGCTTCCATGAACATGGACTTGCTTCCAGAGTCTTCAGCAGCTAGCTGTCCTTGAGGTTACCCTGCCAATACAGCTGAGAAGATATGAAACAAATTGAAGTGAATGGGATATAAGAAAGGTATTTGAGCCACAGTAATTCTATGAAGAACTGGTTACACTCTGTTTCTGTGGGGGATGCAGAACCTCATTGGATTGCTTCTGAAAGAACAGCATTGCGGGAGGGATTGACTGATGTAACATTAAATTAGTTTGGTTCCTGGAGAAAGGGAATGATTTCTGTTTAATGTTTAATATTTCTATTTATCTTTGTTGCAAATGTAGCTGGAAAGTTATTCATTCGCAGCAAATTCAGTATCTTCATCACATGTAACAAACTCCTGCTGAAGTTGTGCGTCTGTTGAGAATTGACCTGAATGTTAAATCAATATTTATTAGAGGAATAGTTTTAAATGTACACAGCAACATGCTGACTTGAGAGGAGTGTTTCCACTTTGAAGTGCCATAAAAGGACAATAGTTATTGCAAGCTCTGCAAAAGCCAGCGACTGAGCTCTGCACAGATTGCAACACACATAGGAAGGGAGTTGGGGGTTGTGTGGGAGTAGCAGAACAGCAGTGTGTTAATATGGCATACTTGTCTGCATTCCAATACTCTGTGTGATATTCCCATTCTGGGTTCACACTTGCATCTTCCGCACTTTTGGAAGCCAAGGTTTTATTGCCGTAGTGCAGGTTCCACTGTGTCTGAATGGTACTTTTCACAGCTGGAATCTTATTTTGCAAGAAGTAAGGCATGTAGTATATTTCCCCCTCCCCCGTGTCCCTAAAATAGGGAATAATGTTACACTATTTGTGAGCAACCTTGGTTGATGCATATTAGATTTTAAAAGTAAATTAGATAAATATCTAAAGACCAGAAATATAAAAGGGTATGAGAAAAGGCAGGAGAATAGGACCAAATGTATGGCTTATTCAGAGAGCCAGCACAGACACCGTAGGCCAAATGGCTTCCTTCTATGCTGTAAATTTCTGTGATGCACTTTGAGACGTCTCAAAGACGTGATAAGGTGCAATATCAAATGCAAGGATTAGTATGATTAAATTCAATGTTTCTCTGCATGTGAAAGTTGCAAAGAGTAAATAGCTGAGGCACCACCAATGTAATTGTGTTCATTGTTGGAGGAAACGGTAGCCATATTGTTTTTTGACACATAAACATAAGACTGGGTTGCCTTTTTGTTCAAATGTATGTTGAAATAAAAAAGGACAACAAAACATCATTGCTGTGAACTTCAATGCAATTTTCCCATGATTTGCAATCTCCTCCAACATAAATCCATAACTAATTTCAGGCAATAAAACTTGCTGACTTTCTATTTAAGACATTTCTTAATTCTTTTCTTAATATTCTGCAATGTAAGCACCAGGTAACAGTGTTTACCTCTTGCTCCTCTAAACGCAGATGGTCTGACCAGCAAAGTCTTTGTGGAAGAAGCTGAGATAATTGAGGAAACTCTTTGGGCAAAGAGATCACTGCTTTTACTACTTACAGTGATATTAATGATGTGCAATAACAGGGGTGGAATGCCTGGCTTAGTAGTGTGATATTTTTAATTCTGTGCTCAGCATTCCAACACTTGCAAATTTGGCATTAAAACCATATGGAATAGTGGGGTTGGAGTTCAGAACTCACATTACTATTTCTCTTTGCTCAAGACGCTGTAATTCCATGATAAAGCTCCTACATGGTCTTTAATAAAGCTTCAACACTCTTTAATCAACAGACGAACTTAAATAAATAATAAATAATCTTTAAATTTGATATAGCACCTTTCACAAAGTGCTTCACAGGATGTACTGTAAAGTGGAGTGGTGACTGTAAACCCTGGGCAAATGTGCTTACGGGTTTAGTGAACATGTTTGTAGAAACTTAGTTGTTCACAATGTTTTAAAGATTGATTTCATAAATGTAGCAATATTGTGTATCAAGTTAAAATATTTCTCTCAAGCCCACAATTCTGCCCCTGCTTGTACACACGGAATGTCAATGCACTTAGTGATACAGGAAATATTTCACCCATGAAATTACGTTGGGTTATTGCCTGATTCTGACAGTGATAGACATTTATCATCCATTATACTGTTCCTTCAACTTCATCCTGTTGACTTGGTATTTCCAGTAGTCTTCCTATCTTACTTATGGCTTGGAAGCTTGACTACAATTTGTGAAAGGAGTTGTATCCATACTCCTATGGGCACAATAGCATTTAGTTTGATTTATAAAAAGCATTCTATTGAGACTAATTCACTTATTTATCTTTCAGTTGGACACCAATGAATCTTCCAGTGAAATGGTGGTGGCCCCAAAGTGCCACTCTTCCCAAGACAATGAGGCATCGGAGCAGGTGCAGAACGGAGCAGTGGATAGAAACCAGCGGGACACGGGAGGTTCCAAACAGAATGAAGACAAGAGCAACCCGGAAAATGGTGACCCCGGAAGTGCTGTCCCTCCGGATCAGAACGTGAAGGATCAGGGTTTCAATGAAGAAGGGACTAATCTGGATGAAAATTTGGAGATAGACTTGGAGATGGAGAACGGATGTCACAGCCCAAAGGATGATGATGATTCTGACAAGGAAGAAAGCGAAAAGTTATCAACATCTATGAGAAAGAAATACAAAAAGCGCCAACTGGAAACTGCTGAAAAAGGTTTGACTAATATATAATTACTTATTAAGGTTCAAAACCAAGCTTTAAGGTGTAACTGAGTCTACACGCCATGTTGAATCATACTTGTAAGAGAGCCCGTAACATTCATAACAAAAGTATAAATGATTTTAGAATTTTACTGTTGGTGCATTTTCAAGAAAGCATTTCACAAGATTGGTTGGGGGAAGAAGGCCCATCGGCATTCATCCGTCCAGAACAGATCAGTGTTCACATAATGTATTTAAGCCAAGTCCAGGACACTGGATTCATTTACGAAATCGAGTAGTTAATGCTGCCATTGAAAGATGCAAGGGTTTATGTTCTGGAAAGATTAGAGCAAATGGACCAAAGGGTCTTCTTTGACAAATCTGTCTTGTGATTTTATAATCCACAAACAAACCCCTATGTATTCAATTGGTACTGAATATTCCAGGATTTGACTGTAGATTCTTGACATACAATGGTTCTGGTCACCACAGCACAGAAAATGCATTCAAACTTGGGAGAGGTATAGAGAAGGTTGCAAGATTGGTGTGAACATAAGAAACTACAAAAAATTACATGAGAACCTTAAACCCAGTGGAAGCAAATTAGGTCGGCAGGTTTATTGAAGAGCTGCAATCTTCACCATGATATTAGTTGAACTAATATCATCCAGTTGAACTAATATTTCTCCATTTTGGAAGGGAGAGAATATATGGCATTACATAGAGTGATATGGCATGGAAACAGGCTATTCAGCTAAACTAGTCTGTGTCGGCTGATGTAAAAGTACAGCAAATGTCAGGGTAAAATATTGATCTTTCAATACAAGTTGAGGAGTCCACACATTGATGTAGTGATGTTACCCTTCAGAAGCTATATCACTTTTAGTTGTATTGCCCCATCAGCAAAATAACTTGAAAACAGCTCTGTTCATAAGATCATCTCAAGTTTAGGAATTTATCAAATTCTTACAGTGCTTTGTGTTTTTTCACTGAGCCTGCAACTCTGTTTATGGAAATATGTGTTGCAGTTTACGTGATCAGCCGTGATTCAGGTACCCCTGTGGCTCACATAGTCATCTATTTTCCAAAATACTCTGCACTCCCCTTACATTAAAAACAAGACTGCTGCTGTATGTTAACTGCTTTTTAGATGTGGACTGTATGATAATTCTACAAATAGTCTCATATGAATTGGGGTTGTTTTTACTAACCCTTTGCCTTTAGCACAGTTGCCATTCCACTAGAAGTCAACATTGTATATTTTAGCTTGTCAGGCTGACAGGTAGGAGCTGAACCAGTATTGCTCCCTTGAAGTGAAGCGTGCAATGATTGAATCTTTTTCAATTGAATCCTTTGTAGGAATGAAATGCAGCTTTTTGCACAAAAAAATCTGAGTCTTGCCAAGTTCTCTAAACAATGCTGGTCCTCTGTTTGCATATTTCTTGATGTTCTCTATGCATTTTGATATTTAGAACAATGAAAAGATAATTCAGTGTGATGCAGGTCAATCCAGCAGCACCACAATAGCCAGTATCTTTCTCCGGTTTCACTGGTGATGAAAGGGATAATTTCAAGATCATTTTGGTTTTCCCCTGCCCCCCCTATTATTACGCTTGTATTACAGAAGAAGTGAGCCTGTAATACAGTGTTGCCATGGAATACTGCCTATTCACTGTCTGGGAAGCATTCACTCACTATGGAGGGTGCAGCCGTTTGATAGTCATAACTTACGACTTTATCTCTGGCCTCTGTGGTTTTCGCAATAGCTGAGGAAGCTCTTTTTAAGGACAGCAAATGAAAGACTTACATCACTAACCAGTCCAATGTTGGGATGAAAGGTTGGGGAGTAGGACTGAGCCACTCAGCCCAACAGAGCTAGAGACAGTAGCCAACATTCTCTCTAGCAGGAGAGGTTATGTTGTGGATGAGGTGTTGATGTTGCTCGAACTAACATTGAAAATCATCTCTTTAGATGGGGACCCCATTCCCAAAGCATCTGGGGGCAGAGGTGATGTTTCATACATAGAATCGATCTGGAGGCAATGTGAAGGTTAATAAAAGCTATGATTGTAGATATTTGAATCCAACCATACAGCTCTGCAGTCTCTGGTACAGTACTTGCAGTTCAATTAGGTAACTGTTGCATTGCGATGTAGAAATCTATTAGCATTCAAACAAAAGAAGCTGAGGGAGGCTTTGTGCAGATGAAATATTACTTTGATTAAGGACACATAGATGATGACACTTCAGTGCACACGTTGTTAGCCAGGAGCTGTTTCCTAGTAACCAATTCATACATTTTAAAGTGAACAATATGCTTTAGTTTTTTTTAAAGTTTTAAATGAGAGTCTAATGTACCTCGTGTTACTGGAGATTATTTTGGTTAAAAAAAGCTGTGGTTTATTCAGAAGCCAGCTGGTCCTAGAGGAGCTGGCATGGTAACTGTGATTGGGAGCCAGTTGTTTTTAGCAATGTTGTACACAGCATAGTATCAGGACTTGCCCTTTGAAAACTGTAGGCCCAGCACCCATAATGGTGCAAATAGTAATAGCAGTGTAACTACCCCACACTGATGACAAAGGTCATAGGTTCAAACCCTAGGATGAACTCGGTTTGCTAATCTCAGTTCAGCAGCAATGAGAGGTGTTACACTTGGGCTAGGGAGTGGAAAATCAGAGTTGCCACTGGTGAGGCCTGAAAAGTCATCTAATTCAATCCTAATTTAGAAGCTGGTTTTCCACAGTTCTCAGAAACAACCAACTTCAAAATTAATTGTTTTCCACAATTCTGCACCGTCTTAAATGTCAAACCTCAGGCAATTTGCAGGCCACTGATCATGATCCTGTACTCATTTAATCGTATGCAATTGTGAATATCAGGTGAGGAAACAATTGGCTTGGAAAGATTGTGAGCCACCATGTCACAAAGCTTGGTGGTGCTCCCTGAGTCTATTAACCACTGATTTCCCTCAAAAGCGTTTAACTCACAGTCTAGGCTGACATCAATATACTGCTGGGGGATGGGGGAACACTGCATTTGTTGGAGGTGTGTCCTTCAGATGAGACGTTAAACCAAGGTCCTGTCTGCCTGTTTATGAGAACATGAAAGATCCCATGGCACTAGTCGAAAAGAGAAGGGAGGTTGTTGTGGCGTCCTGACCAATACTCATCACGGCTGTCGTGGGACATTGCTGTGCCAATATTGGCTGCCAGCTCACCTACAAATACAGTCACACTTTACAGTAAATCTTGTGAAGTGCTTTGAGATGTTCTCGTAGTGTGAAATGTGCTATATTAAATGCAAGGATTATTATTGGTATTTTTAGTGATCGGCTTGTGATAGATTTCACTCTCTGGGCTTATTCATTAAGAATGGTCATTTGGTTAGGTTACGAGGGCTGCAGAAACCTGCGGAACAATAGACCATCAATTAATGCATTCGGAAGGGAGGAAACAAGTACAATAATAGGTCTAGTAGAGTAGCAGGGGTTTGGTTATCCTGGAAAATAATGCAAATAAAAAGATTTTTATGACATTAAAAGAATTATATAGGGAATAATGAACACTGAATCAGTAAAGTCATTGAAATGAAGGCTTATAGATGGTCCTGAGATTTTGCAATGTTTTTTTTTATTTTGCAGAGTTCATTGGGACAGCTTTATAATGTTTTTGAGGGGGGAAGGCTGTCAGTGGTGTTGTGTATAGTTAATGTATCATGACATCGGCCCTGAACAATGTGTGTTGATTATGCCTCAACCAAGGTTGAGTGAGAATCTATATTCGATTCCTGGAACACAGTGTAGTCAGTAAGATATGGTTATGATATGATTTATTGGCAGGTTGTGGATTGTAAAATCATGCTATCAGCAGTTATAATATAAAAAAATACAAAGGAGTACTAATGTTTTAGAGGGACATTACCTTTAAACTGAGAAGCTTTTGGTAGGTCTTTTGTGTTCACTATGACCCATTACTATACTACTGGCATAAAATAACCCTGTGACAAAAATTCAGGTGTTAGCAGGATTTGAAAAACATTTGTAGATATTATGATATAAATAATACTTGCATTTACGTACAGTGCCTTGTCATGTCATCGAAACATCTTAAAGCGCTTCACAAGATTTGCCTTGATGCGGAATAACTATTTGTAGGCGAATACAGCAGAGAATTTGTGCACAGTAATATTCCACAAGCAATCATGAAACGAATCATCCATTGTATTTGGCGAATTGTTGGCCAGGACTCAGAGAAACTCCCTTCTCTTTTTGAATAGTGCCACGCGATTTGAACAGGCAGGTGGGAACTTTGGTTCCTATCTAACAATGCAGCGCGACATTGGAATATCAGTTCAAAATCCCAATGTGGGTCTTGAATCCACAACCTTATGAGATGAGAGTGCTACCAACTGAGCCAGGTTAACACCCACCTACTGAAATGTTGACAAATATTGAGTCTTGCCACCAACCGAATGGACTTTTATGCATGTGTGGAAGAAATCTAAAGCATCCAAAATTGGATGATGTTGAAGTGGAGTTCCCACAGGGCATATAAGTACTGGCAGGATTCATTATTTATGAATCTTATTGCTAAGTCTTGATGTTAGACCATACTGTTTAACAAAAATGATACATGGCTGTATCCCTCCCCAAATATTGTTGTGTTTGTTTTCTTACATTGATTTCCAAGTGATTACTTGTCCAAAGAAAACATTGGCATGCTGTTGACTTCAAGCAATAAGAGTGACAAGTTACTGGGTTACATCTATTGGTTTGAAGAGATTCAAATTCTTCTCCCTAACTAGATTCACAAAAGTTAATTTACATTGCGTTGGCTGTCATACTGGGATGCTGTGATATCCCATTTTTGAAGAGTTTGACAAGATACATAACAGATGCACTGAGTCTATATGAACTGGTACAGTATATGCCAGCTAATACAATTGACTTTGTGCTGGATTCATACTTTTGCCACAGCAACAACTTACATTTATATAACATCCTTCATGCAGGAT